ACTAAGGTCTTTTTAAAAAAATCGAGAACTTGAACAAAAATAGTAAACCAAACCACTACATATCTTGTGCAAAAAATACATAATAAATTTCATTCAAAAATATTGAAAAATGGAATGTCAGTTACGAAGTAGCTATCGTTGTATGGCTTGAAAGACAATTCCAGTGTGAGAACCATTCACTTCCGTCTCTAGAAACCTACTTTTTCGCCCTAGATGCCTCAGTTGAACTCCAATTCGCCTCGGGGCGAAAAGCTGCTCAGCTGATAATTCCATACATCATCCCTGTCTATTGTGCTCCCCAATCCAAGCATTACATTCAATTAAAATACAGACAGACAGATCTCTGTATATAAACACTAGAATAGCGCTTGCTACGATTGAGTTATATGCCTTCTAAGGTAATTGTTTCGGCGCAGCTTTGAAACTTGGTTATAGTGCTGTTTTGCCTGATGGGTTAATCCTCGTCTGGAATTTCACTCAGGTATCTGTCGCACACATTTGTGTTTATCGTTACTGAACTGTAAACGGAATGATCTCGTCAGGGTTCTCGCAGGGTCAGCAGCGTGACAGTCGGTAGAGTTTCTCCCGAACTGTCGGCCGACAACCTCATTGAACACGCCTAGTAGTAACGAAACCTGGCGGTGTCCTGGTATTTAGGCGTCTGCCTGCGCGGCTGCTTCGATGTAAAAAAATTACATTTTTGAAGAATCGCTTGACAGTGAGTGCGATGAACTGAGCAGATGATTAATGTGACTTTGCTCTAGTCTTTCTTCTCTTACTTTTTGACTTCCGCATGTCTAGCTTAGAAACTTTCCAACGTGTAGATCAAAACTGCACTTAGCTGTCGCTGAAATGAACAACGTTAATTTATGCGCATTTTCCTTACCGCAAACTACGCCATAAGCTATAATTGCAGGAAGTTTTTTAATTAGTTTGATGGTAAGCTCGTGCTTTATATATTTGCATGAAATTGGCGAAATTAAAATCGGAGCTGTCGAGTACAGCGCAGCTTCGCCTGAATTGCACCAAAGCTCAGTTTTCAGCTTCCATCGTAGTAACGCGTAATTTTTATAATAGCAGCAAATGCAGGCTGCACTTGAAATGAGAGGCAATTAACTAATTTCAAACTAACCATCGTTATTTAATGTGTTTATCATTTGCCAGTTCCGAAGAGATGTTGGCGTTCATTCCAAATGGTAAATCAGTAATCACCTGTGGTTTTTCCGTTATAAGGGAATAACGTAGATGAACGATTGCAATAGAAAATCAAGTCTGCCTAAAATAATTGTATAGAAGGGAAGATATTTTTTTGACACATAATGAGTTTTCTCACTTACACAAAAAAATGAAAATAAATGGGGTGATGCTATGCCCCAAAAGCTTGGTGTGTGCTAAACGAAATAAAAAAAAACGTGATAAAGGCTTGCTTTATAAACAAACTCATTTTGTTAGATAACTGAGTATGGTATATTTCTCGCTCTCCTAAACAAAGCTATTCATGGGACCAAAGCAATTCTATTTTAGTTAGTTTAAAAGAAAAACGGAAAGCGTGCATGATTTGCAAAAATGGTGAAAGTGTATATTGTAGTTCTCACATCAAATACTCAGAAAATTGATAGTGAAGAGAGTATTTTCTTGAAGAACCTTTCAGGAAGGGGTATTGGGGATGTCAGGTTGATCTTGATCATGATCCTTACAAGGTCAATTTAAGGGCAAGCGTGTTTTTATACGTTGACTCTGAAATGGATCTGGCACTGGTGTTTCGAGAATTAGAAAAAATCACTCAACTCTACAAGGGCACGGAAAAATCATTAGTCGTCTCTGATTATGACCTCTACAAGGACAATTCAAGGTCATGGTGATTTTAAAGGTAAAAGAGGAAGGAAAAGCGTACTAATGAAAACATAGCTCTAGGGTATTGAAATTTATTGACTATTGATATGAGGTTTTTTGTTTTGGCCTGTTGCCGGTATATCGAACAGTTTGGGTTAACTTTTTCAAAAGATAGCGAGCTGCAATCTCATGTTAAAGAAGCCACGACTCAATAGAGATTGGACGCCATCTGCAATAATGCACATTAATTATTGTATATTCATCTGGTAAATCCTCGTTATTTACATAAACTTGTCGATAATATATCCGTAGTCGATACTTCATTGAGTTTCTAAAACTTGAGTAGAGTAGGTTGTGTATGAATTGATGAACGAACTTTGAAATTGATGATTGTTTATCGTATAGTGACTGAATGTAACAATAAACTGTATGTATAGCGTCTGACGGAATTTATCGCCCGTGTAGCTGAGTTCTTCGGGCGATGCTGCTAGATGAGTCAGATGTTGCAGGAAGAGAGGTACCTTCAACTTTATCTAACGCTAGACTGACTAATACTGCATTAGTCCCTTCCATAAATAATAATCGGAGCATGTTATGTATTAATCTATAAATGTCTCCTAGATTCGGTATATGATGTATTTGACTGGTTTTATCGAGGATACTAAAAGTTGATTTTATAGTCACATTCACCATTTTTACAAACCGGCAAACTTCATCCCCTCATTTCTCAGAAACTAATCATAGGATTACTTTGGTTTCAGGAGAAGATTTGTTCAGGAAGGCGAGAAATATGACATGCTTAGTTAAAGCGACCGTTACCCATTTTCCATATGTTCTATGCAGGGTCCTTTAATACTAAGTGACATATAAATCCGAACACCCAGTTTAAATGGTTTTATTTTAATAAAAGTTGGTGAATGTATTTATCTTACTGTAAATAACAAGTGAAAAAATCTTCAGCCGTATCAGTTGAACATTCCGGTTTTTATACTGCTTTTTTTTAATTCACTAACGCTCTAAAAATGAATATTTCAGCCGCAGTAAAGAATCAACGTTGGCGGATTTTGGTTCTTGACATCCTTTACGATCGGTTACGATGCCTAGAGTACGGAGACCTGTACGATTTCGTCAACTAGGTGAGTTTGATATAGTGGGACTTCGGGAAGCTGGACTTTCTTTTCAGGCAATTGCAGTTAGAGTGCAAAGAAGTGTAGACACTGTGGTTAGGTGTTGTCAGGCATGGCTTCGAGAGGCCGTACGCAAAGAGCAAGCGGCACTGGACGCCGCCGTAGAACAACAGACCGTGAAGATCGCCGCCTAAGATTATTGGCCTTAAGGGACCGTTTCTCCACTACCAGGTCCATTGCAAATGAATGGTTTGCAGAACACGGAAGACCTATTGGCATGCGAAGTGTTTACCGACGAATGAGAAGTTTTGGCTTGTTTTCATACCGGCCACACTGGGTCCTCCCTTTAACTCGAGAACACCGACGTAATCGCCTTGGGTGGTGTAGACAACGGTCACTCTGGGATCAGGAATGGAACAGTATTGTCTTTAGTGACGAGTCTCGATTTTGTTTAGGCATGCACGATGGTCGTGCCAGGGTTAGAAGGCGACGTGGTGAAAGGAGGGGTCCACAGCTTTTTGTTGAAAGACATGTTCATCACACTGTTGGAGTTATGGTTTGGGGTGCTATAGCTTATGGTTCCAGGTCACCTTTAATCTTCATCAGAGGTAACATGAGCGCGCAGCGTTATATCCACGAAGTTTTAGAACCCCATCTTTTACCCTATCTTGACACCCTGACAGATCCAACTTTCCAGCAAGATAATGCCCGACCACATGTTGCAAGAGTCACAATAGACTTCTTTCAACATAATGATGTCACATTGTTACCATGGTCACCAAGATCTACCGACTTATCCCCAATTGAGCACGTGTGGGATATGATGGGTAGGAGATTGCTTAATTTGCAACGTCCTCCTCAGACTCTAGAAGCACTTCGAGAGGAGTTGGTGGTTGCCTGGAATGAGATACCACAGGAGGACATTGACAACCTGATCAGAAGCATGCCTAGGCGCATTGGAGAATGCGCAGCACATCAGGGTTGCATCCACACATTATTAAAGGTCAAAGGGCTTTAAAGCAGTGCAATCATTTTGAAATTTTTATCATTTACTTATTATGCTTCATTAAGTACTTATACAAAATTATATTAAAATAAAACCATTTAAACTGGGTGTTCGGATTTATATGTCACTTAGTATTTATACTCCATGTCCATTATATTAATAACTAGATTTCCGGAATTATACTACTATCTTAACTATATCCTGCTATTGTATATTATAGTGACTTACTCATTATTGATGCTCTCTTCATAAAATGCTTATGCTGACAAGTAGAACGATTCTATTCGTTTCACTTACTTTCGTCTTCATATACATTATATTCGGTTGATTTCCCAAACCCCACGGCATACACAATTTAAAAAAATCGAACAAAGCAACTGTATATGCAATAAAGAGTCGACCTTCTTGGAACAGTTGCGGTTTATATAACATGTAGTGATCTGTTGTAGGTAATAACTGCTAGCGACTAAAACGATAGTTTGAAAAATTAATTAGCACCTTCTAGACATGAAGTTAGTTCGCACATCTGTAATGAAAAAAAAAAAGATTTTGTCAGTTCCTTTCAGAAGGCTTAGATAACAATGGAACTTGGCTAGGTATGTTCAGTTATGTAAAGATTATATTCGAATAATTTTTTGCTTGCATCTTCACCACAGTTGTAAATACGACAGTAAATCATTTCTTTTTCAATGGCAAATGAGAGATCTGCCAATTTCATTGTTTGACAACTGGACCTGTCATTCCGAAATATTTTATATTAATAACTCTAGCTCCTCATGGAGTTCTCCTTCTTGAATACCTTAATAATTTACCGCTTTTGGGAATGCTATTGTTGGTCCACTTCTCAAGTTAGATAAGCTAGGCGACAAAAAAGTGATACGTCCAAAATTTTTATTCAGCTTCATCGGTTGGATAACTCTCAAGTTTAATTGCTGATTCGGAACTTTTTGCACCACTACCGCATTGTCTGAAATTGATGGGAATGGGAACGGAATTGTGTTTGTAATCAGGGTATAATAAAGTTTTCTACTCACCACAACCAGATTCCACATTTTGGCAGCTTCGGCAACAGTAGTACATACCGTACTACAACCAGCTAGTAACATCAGCTTTGTAGGCTCGTTGTATAACAAATTGTACATCACACTAGCACCTAATCCGGGTTCACACTGAAACAAACGAAATTTTATCGATAGAGAGTTTTGGCAATTACAAACATTGCATGCGTAAACGTTAACATTTGCCTTGTTTGCCATTAAGGTCGATGGGAGCATTAAGCCATTGTTAAGCGGTGCAGCGATGCAGCGCTTTTATGCTGAATAGCAAAACAACAATAATAATAATTCTAATAACTAACATACATATATGTGAATAAACTGCAAATACCCACAGAAGAAGTAATCCTTGTGCGTGGGAATGAATCACTTATAGCTTATAGAAATATTTACATGAATATACATACACACGGATCACACATACATATACATAGTAATGAACATGTCATTTTTGAATTACTATATTGAGTTGAATTTTCTTTTTTGAATTACTATATTGAGTTGAATTTTCTTTCATATTGCAATTCCATGTCTTTTTTTAATTATGAATCATTTTGTTCCAATGTTAAATTCAGTTTTATTTGGAATATCCCTTAAATCATTCGGTAATATGTTATATAACCTAATGGAAAGATAAGTATGGCATCAAATATGTTTGCTTGATATTGTTGATTCTGTTCCTCGTTTGATATAAGTGATCTAACGGTCAAGATAATTTCTATGTTGAAAAATTGTAATTTTGTAAAAAAAATAGTTGCCTAGTGTCTACATTTTTTGTTCCATAGGACAATAGAGCAGATGGCTATAGAAGTGGTCTAAATATACACCTAAATATTTTAATTTGTATGTTATATTTATTTTGTATTGGTATTATCATAATTATCATAATTAATCTGTATAGAAGCAAACATTTGTTCTTAAGACTTGTGAATGGCATGAACATAGTTTTTAGAAAGTTGATAGACATTTATGTCTAAACCAGTCTGCAAATATTATTAGGTCTCTTTCAACTTTTTTCTTTAGATCATCCCACGAATAAGTGATGGCCGTATTGTCTGCAAAGCATATGATTGTACTTACAGATTTTAAGCTAAGCAGGCTATTCATGCAAAGTGTAAATAATCACTCTCCCTTGTGGGACACCATATGTTATGTTTGTGCTTAAGGAACTATTTATTTGAACACACTGTATTCTGTTGGAAAGATAATTTTTCATGAGGTTGTAAGCCTTGCCTGTGGTTCCTGAGCCTTGTCAGATTTATAATAGATGCAAGTGGTCTACTCGGCCGAATGCTTTTGCTAGATCTAAGAAGACACACAGGGTATATTAATTTTGATGTCAAAAAAGAAATTGCACCTTGGGTACACTTATTTTTCATTAATCAGATTATTTTTTATCAAAAAAGCTTAGAAGACGCGTTTTCATGTTTTTCTCAATAATATTTTATCATCATACTATAAAATCGGACACCTAGTAGAAAGTGCTGTCAGAGTGACAGACTTATCCCATGCCTAGCGTTCATCATAAAAGTACCGCACTGCTGGACCGCTTTAAGTTGGCTGAATGCTCCCAATGAGGTGAATACTCTCGTTAACCGATAACTACTATAAAATAGTATATCTAGCTAACAACACATGCGTATAAAAGTTGAAAGCTAAGTTGAAGCTAACATAGGCGCCCGCAGGAATTTATTCGGGAGGGATCATCGACGAGAAATAACTTTGTGTGAAACTGTACCTGCCCCAAAAACGTTTTAAAGAGCGGGGGTAGCATATTTTGTGAAGGGGAGAATCCTTAAAATCCCCAAAAATTGTACACGAAATCATGCTAAATATCAAAATTTTGACGTTCAACCGGATCCTCAGGGGGGCATTCCCAATGCTAAGCAATGTCAATTACATATTAATATCAAAATCGTTGCTGATGGGATATGAATGCAACAGCACAGACTCCTGCAATACAATATATTTCTCCTATTTACTGACCTCCCCATATTAATTTTTGTAAGTCAATTGAAATTGAAGTATATATATATATATATATATATATATATATATATATATATAAAGGACACCTATTAGTATTTTGAAGCATAGACTATTTTGAATGAAAAGTAAAAGATCTCAGTACAATGGCTTGTAGAACTCTATACCCAATCCAGTATTATGCTTTTTGTTATTGAGATATAATCACTTATCGTGAAATAATAATAATAATTGATGCAAGAACTCTATGAGAAGCACAGTTTAGAGCCGCAATAGGCTCTATCTGCTACAGGATATTAAAGTCCAAGCCGTTACAGAACAGTAGAGTTTAGAGTGGAGCCACAAACAATCTATCTAGCTGCACAAAATTTGGGCTATAAGTTACACTGAAACAGGAACGGCACACGAAAGAAAAATAAATGGGATTACTTTAGCTACACGTTTAAAAATAATAAGGAAGCGACACGACGGGCGCTTACCCTGTGACCGCTCCCTTACATCACCAGAGTCGTTTCTCACCCTTAATAGCCACCCATTACAGAACTACTTAATCCAACGTTGCTCATTGATATAGACCAGTCGACTAGTGCCTTTTGTTATTTCAGGAAAAAGTGGCTTCCAAATTGTTTATTCCGAGAAAGTTTTTCCACGTTGTTCTTGGAGGCTGTTCTCACTCCATTTTTTTTCATAATCATAATTGTAATAACCGTCTTTATTATTAGCATAAATTGACAAAGTGGTAAATAAAGAAAGATATAATTTAATTCAGTCAATAAAGGGCGAAGTTCAGCCTGCATGCCCAACTAACAATTATCACTGCTATTAGAGTTGCAAGAAAGATTATACAGTCTTCCTTACACAGCACTGTATGCTGTAAGAACATTAGCAAAACGCTCTTAGAACAGCTATACAATCGGAATGGGCACACCTAATAGGACACTTCAGTCATTTAAGAGGTTGTATAAGGGCTGCAGGAAACAGTTATACAATAAAAGTGTAAACCTCTTGCAGCCGCTATAGAACATTTGTGTCAGTGCAAGATTCAGTTTCTGTCAACTATACAACTATTCTGTTACGTGGTTCTACTTTACTGCAACCAAACTATTTCTTATTTATTGTATAGGCGAAGTGAAGCATATACAGTGTGAGTCTTCATAAAGTGCACATATCGAAATCAGGGAAACTACACTCTATTTCATCGACGGATAAATCATCAAAAAAACATGAATTTGATTTTTTATGAATATATGAATATTTTAAAATTTTTAGTAGCAGCTTCTAACCATATTGAAATAACTCGTTACAACTTTTAAACTAAATGTCCTATCATATTGGAATACATTTTGTAGTGATTGCTGGTAAAAGGACGTGCCTGAAAAGTGAAGAATTCCAGGAAACGTAATGACATCCATTTAGAATAAAAAAAATTTTGATGAAAATCTGTTTATTTTTTCATCATTTTTACAATAATTTCAAATTTTTTATAAATATCGTCCCTTGTACCCTACATTTTTTTATTTATAAGTTATTCTACATGTTATCAGCTTTATAAAAGTAAAAATTGCACGTTTATTACTCAAATGTAACAGTTTCTATGAGTGTTTACAAAAAAGCCCATGCGCATCGTCTTGCTAGGCACCATTGTTTATCATGTAGATACCTTTTTTGGTGATTCAATGTAGAGTCGCGCGGGCTGAAGTACGAGTGGGGAGGCGGGCCCAGTTGAAAAACAATTGAATGTTGGGCAGCTATTTGTGTTTCTCCTGCCAACTTTATCAGTTTCGTTTGCTACATATCACGCTTTCGCTTTTTGGTCACGATGCCACGTATAAGTGATTTCCCTCCGGCACACATTGCCGATATCCATTATTATTATGGAAAGTACCGAGGGAGTGCTAGAGCTGCCTGCACAGCTTATCTGCATTTCCAAATCGACGCCCTGTTCCATCAGCCCGTAACTTCCAAGAAGTACATAGAAGACTGGCTAACACTGGACTTGGTTTGCCTCGAGATCGCCGCGAACCAGGTGTTATTATTCATGTTGCTATCGAAGAAGCCATTTTGGATGATTTGTTTGCTGACCCGACTACTAGTATGAGACGTTTGGCGTTACGTCATGGCGTATCCCAGAAATCGGCGCATCTTGAGGAAAGCAGGGTTGCATCCATACCATTATCAAAGGGTGCAGCACTTGCATGAAGATGCGAATTGGCGTCCAAGGTGCGTTATGTCTACATGGATCTTAATAAAAACAAGAGACAATCCTGAATTCCCGAAAACAATTCTGTGGACAGATGAATCTCAATTCACGAGAGACGGCATTGTGAACTGTCGTAATTTACATAAGGGGTGCCCAAAAGATGAAAACCCTAGACTGAAATTTTCTGTAAATGTATGGGCCGCACTGATTGACAACTTTTTGATTGGTCCAATAATACTCCCGAGGACATTAAACGGAGAGAGATTTCTGGAGCTTTTGCGGACTGAACTGCCCTTGCTGTTGGAAGAAGTGCCGCTGCAAACCCGTCGAAGAATGATGGTTCAAATGGATGGATGTCCTGCCCATTACTCGCTGATTGTCAGGTCTTTTCTTAATGAAAATTATCCAGGCCGCTGGATCGGTCGACAAGGACCTGTTGGGTGGCCGGCGCGTTTCCCAGATCTCACACCTCTCGACTATTTTTTATGGGGAACAATGAAACAAAGGGTGTACAGCAGTTCCATAAACAGCGAAGCGGAACTTGAAGAAAGAGTTTTGCGTGTTGCAAACGAAATCAAAAATGATCCCGAGATGATTCGTAGGGCAACTCATCAAATTTCACTTCGCGCTACAATGTGTTTGCAGCAACGGGGTGGCCATTTTGAACATTTGATGCATTAAGCCAAAATGAGTATCCTATAGACAAGTCTATTTGATTTTATTTGTTAAAGATAATTAATGATTCATGTAAGTTAATACCCTTGTTTTATTCCTAGTCTGGCGTTGAACTGAGTTCACTGCTTTTTGAAACGCTGATTTAAAAACTTGTATCTAAGTAATAAACTTGCAATTTTTCACCATTAGGAAGCTAATAACATGTAGAATAACTTAACATTTAAGAAAGGTAGGGTAAATAGGACAATTTTTA